AGTTCGGTTTCAACATGATTCGCTCCTTTGGCAAACTTTTTTATAAAATAAGAGTTGGCCCACATACACTGAATAAGCGGCGGGTAACTGGAGACATGTAGCCGAGGACAGAAGAGTTTGGCACAGCAGCAACTGGCATTTATGAGTATCCGAATAAAATCATCAACATGGAATGACTACACAAACAGCCCGTGCAGTCTTGGTATTCCGTGAAAAGGCTTATTTCAGGATAAAAATGAATATCGCTAGCTCTGCTCAGACGAACTACGAAAGCTTCATCCATTCTTACTATAACTACAGATGGCCGCTATTCCACTTGTATTCCTAGACCAAAAAGTAATTGCTAGGCATCGTCCAGTCTTGTAAACCGAGGATGGAAACCAAGAAAGATTTGACCCAAGAGCAAAAAATAAAAAAAAAAGAAGACAAGACTCGAGAAAGATAAATGAAAAACAATGGTTCTTAACAAAAAATATGTTACTAAGTCCAAAAGTCATCAAGGTATTAACTTTATTTCAGGAGTTTTTTAACATCTGGAAAAATCATTATTACTTACACTATCTTGCTAACAAGGTCCATTTGCTGTGGTGAGCTAAGACGTTCACACCTTTATGGGCCAAAACTTTTTATCTCAGTCTTATCTCAACTTCTTAACTCTTCCGGCTAATTAATTTTCTTATTATTTCCTTCCGTTTTGACTGTGTCTTAGCATCCTCTGCAATTAGAGATTTATGAGATCATGATGATGAAGATGTGAAATTTTTTCACCACTCGACAAAATCTCTCGCAAAAAGAGGTTCTATTCGGAGTGCATTTGGAGCTTTAATGCCCGGTACCGTATTAAGCTCCCAGACTGCATACCTCAACAAATTTGCAGTCCGATCGCCGATCAAGTCCTGCTCAATTTCTGGCTCGAATAATTGCTGCGGCTGCGATCGAAGCAATTCCTTCATTCGATCCATATATTCCTCATGACTTCTTGGCAGGGGTGTTATCAGAAGTGCAGTGCTTAGCTCGACCAGAATTACAGCACATATACAACAGGTTGTTACTAATTTCACTGCCATTCTGAAAAAAAAAACAAAGACTTTTTCCGGACACTGTATCTAATTGCACTTAGGTTGATCGCAGTGTATCAAAATTGCTTTAGTGCTTCTTAAATGAAATTACCACCTACTGTGAAGAGGACTTCACTTTAGTTCAGCCTCAAATTTTCAAGAAAAAAATTAAGATTACCAAGATCGCTGGGAGATATCTCAGTTTTGAGATTCGGACACCTTACGTGTAGACGCATGTCTTACAAAAAAGTAATTTATTAATTTCCTGGTATTCAACGCTCTAGCAATTCATTTTGTGATTGCAAATGGATGTACTAGTGCATGCAAAAAGAATTTATTGCTCCATCAAATAACGAAAAAAACTTTGAACTATTAGCCGCTCCCTCTTCTGAAGCTATAATATTAGTCTGGGATTCGATCAACAGACATAATTAAGTAGCAGCACGAATCAGATGTTTAACGCACTTACGCGTTTTTGTTAAAAGCTGTCACGAAATTATAGCAAACAACTCCAGCTGTTGTTTCATTTAACTCGTTATGATGGTTTTTCGACCCATTCGTCGAAAGATAATCTGCACTTAGCTTCAGGTGACTGCAGATCGTTTGACTTATAAATGGGTCGAAAAATCACTATAAAAAGGTAAAAGAAACAATCACAACGAGCTGTCTTTTAATACACTCCGTGACTATGCTAGCATTTATTAAGCTGCGAAGTTAATATGATATTCCTTGTATGAGGACACAAGAGGATATGACAGTTGAATCGACGCCTCCGCGTTTGCGCAAGACAGCGGCAGCGCTGCCAAATACCAGCTACTGGACACTGTAGTTCTGAAATCAAATTATCGTAACTTGGAAAAAACAGACATAGCATTTAAAAAAATATACAAATACAAACAAAAGCTGGGTCAAAAAAATAGGTTTTCGCAGTGATTTGTGCAGAGAAGCGTATGCAAAATATGCATAAACTTATTTTTGCACACTCTCCTGCAGGTGTAACAGTCACAATAGAAGAAATAGAAGAATTCTGATGGATTCAAAATTCAGAGTGTATATATGACACTGTTGATTTACTACTAAATTTTCAAATAACACGAAAAAAAACTACTATTACTTAGAATTCTTGGCCAGCATCGACACAAAATAAATAGCGACGCGCACCATGGCAGCTGATGCGATCA